CCAAAGGACACTGCCCACCAGACCCTTCCAGTATTTTCTGTTGGTCATGGGAGAACTGTGTGCCAAGTTTGGTTCAATTCCATTGTTGGTGGAGTTCAGAATGCTCTTTGATTGTAGGTGAACTATAAATCCCAGCAACTACAACTCCCAAATGACAAACTCATAATTTTTTGAGTGATGGTCACTCCTTGTGTTGTGAAACATTTTGTTGCCAAATTTGGTGTGATTTGGTTCATTGGTTCTTTTGTTTTTAGGGTACTCATTACGCACAGAGCATTTTTAGATAGATAGATAGATAGATAGATGCAAAGCCACATATACACAAATATATACACACATAAAACACATATACACAGACTGGTCCACAGCAACGCGTGGCAGGGGACAGCTAGTAATAAATAAATCAGGAGAGAAGGCTTAAGACCTTGTAAAACCTCAACGCCATGAATGGGCCATGGCAGTTCAAGTAGAGTCAAACAACGTAATTCAACAATATAGGCAGACACGCACCATTTGCAGCAAGCTTGTCTACCTTGCAGGGTTGTTGTTCTGACTCGTAACAGAACAAGCCATGAGATGCAGCTTTGAACAGATAGTATTATGTCATCGCTAAAGAGGATTATCAATTCTGCCAGGCAAACGGAGGTCTGCTGAGGATCCCTCCTCCCACACTCCGCAAATGCTCCAAGCAAAACAGGTCAGGAAATGGCTCAGACAAGATGGAATCTATTTCTTCTGCATTTGCATATTTTAATAAATTACTAAGGGCAGGTAGTATATACGAGTCGAGCATATCTATCTGAAAATGTGATGTCTGAAATACTCTAACTCGGTGTTTCTCAACCTGGGGTTCGGGGTTGACAAAGACCATCAGAAAACACAGTATTTTCTGTTGGTCTTGGGTGTTCTGTGTAGGAAGTTTGTCCCCATTCTATTGTTGGTGAGGTTTAGAATGCTCTTTGATTGTAGGCAAACTATATATCCCAGCAACTACAACTCCCAAATGTCAGGGGCGAATTTCCCCAAACTCCACCGGTGTTCACATTTGGGCATATTGAGTATTTCTGCCAAGTTTCACCCAGACCCATCATTGTTTGAATCCACAGTACACTCTAGATGTAGGTGAACTACAACTCTAAAACTGCAGACTACTCTAACCAGAGAAGTCAGCCATAGCAGAGCACACGATGAACCAGCTTTCTTCCAGCTTTTTGAGAACACAGAAATGCTGGACCACTCTCACAACCACAATGTCAGACGACACAGTGAAGCCATTGAAATCCACAAGAAGCATGTGGACAATTTCAACAGAAAGGAGGAAACCATGAAAATGAAGAAAATCTGACTACCAGTATTAAAAAAACTCTAAAATTAGAACAGCACAACAACAGAGAGGAAACAATCAGGCACATCTAATCACCTCTCAACAAAAGATTGCCCCAGGCACTGCCAGGCCATCAAATGCTAATCAAGTTAGCCAGTTGAAACATTCACACCTAGCTCCAACAGACAAGAGTCCTTTGTCCCACCCTGGACATTATTCCACAGATATATAAACCCATTTTCCTAGTTCCAACAGACCTCACTACCTCTGAGGATGCTTGCCATAGGTGCAGGTGAAACGTCAGGAGAGAATGCCTCTAGAACATGGCCATGTAGCCCGAAAAAACCTACAACAACCCAGTGATTCCGGCCATGAAAGCCTTCGACTATAAATGCAGTATTTTTTAGTACTGAAATCCTACCCAGGCCTGCTATGCTTTAGGCTTTTTCTCCTTGTGCTGAGTTTCAAAGAAGAAAGTTGGAAGGCTTTGAAATGGAGAGGGACGTGAGAAACAGGAAAAGCCAATTGCATGGCTCACGAGTTCATGGGAAACATCCAAGATGAGCGTTGCTTCTATGCTACAGATGTGTTTACACAGTAGTATACATATTGATGGAGATACACAAACATCCCGATCATCCAAGGTTTGGGAAGAGAAGGAAACCAGTCTAGCTGAGTGTTTGAGAAGTCTAGCTGAGAGATATTCAAGAGAGATGACAAGCTGGAATGTATCCAGAGGAGGGCGACTCAAATGATCAAGGGTCTGGAGAAAAAGCCCTATGAGGAGCGGCTTAAAGAGCTGGGCATGTTTAGCCTGAAGAAGAGAAGGATGAGGTGACATGATAGCTGTGTATAAATATGTGAGAGGAAACCACAGGGAAGAGGAGGGAGCAAGCTTGTTTTCTGCTTCCCTGAAGATTAGGACGCAAGGGAATAATGGCTTCAAACTACAAGAACAGAGATTCCGTCTGAACACGAGGAAGAACTTCCTGACTGTGAGAGCCGTTCAGCAGTGGAACTCTCTGCCCCGGAGTGTGGTGGAGGCTCCTTCTTAGGAAGCTTTGAAACAGAGGCTGGATGGCCATCTGTCAGGGGTGATTTGAATGCAATATTCCTGCTTCTTGGCAGAATGGGGTTGGACTGGATGATGGCCCAGGAGGTCTCTTCCAACTCTAGGATTCTATGATTCTATGATAAGAGAGACTTGGTGCCAAATTGCCATGAAGTGGGCTTCCTTTCTGCATCGACAATAAAGGAATAGGGTGTGTCTATACTGTAGGATTAATGCAGTTTGGCGTCACTTGGACTGCCATGGCTCACTGATATGGAATCACAGGGTTTGGAGTTTGGAGAGGTATTTATTTATTTATGTATTTACTAGGCCTGTGCGATTTGGTTCGTTAATTCGTTAATTCGTTAATAATTCGTTAATTTTACCATTTCCGAAGCGATATTGAAACAAATCTCCAAACCCGGAAGGGTTTATAAATATCGAACCAGCAGCCCCCATAGTTTTACGAGCCTCCGCTCGTTTCGTTCATGGGGTGGAGGCTGCTGGAGTGCTGGTGCATGGGAGCCAATCCGGCGCTCCCAAGCAGTGCACCATGGGTCCGTGGCTGTCTCTTTTTGATTGGCCAGCGAGCCCTTTCAAAGCGGCTCCGCGCGGCCCGTAGCTTGGTGCAGAGGCGAGGGAGTTTGCATTGGGTTGGCTTGGCAATGGCTGCCTGCTAGCAATGAACTGGGATTGGATTCATTCCTTGCTGCTGTGAGTGCTGCTTGCTTCATTTGCTGTCTCTTGCCTGTGTTTGGTCCACATTTGGGCCATTTTTTGGTTAATTTTCCATTTTAAAATATTTTTAATATTATTTTTTAATATTATTTTTTAATATTATTTTTAATATTATTTTTTAATATTATTTTTTAATATTATTTTTAATATTATTCTTAAAAAATATTCTAAAAAAGAAAAGACTCTTCTGTTGGTGTGTGCTCTCATATGCTGTATCCTGCCTGTGTTTGGTCCACATTTGGGCCATTTTTTGGTTAATTTTCCATTTTAAAATATTTTTAATATTATTTTAATATTATTTTTTTTTTATTTTTTTTTAGATATTCGTCTACACCTTCAGGCCTGGTCTACACATCATTAATGACGTAACGACTGCTTCTGGGTGCTCCTGTTTTATATTGAGAGGTCGTTGTGAGGTAGCCTACATAATACACTGTATCAGTATCACGCAGTGCTGTAATCAGGTCACAACAACTTCTTGCTGGCGCACGGAGTTTATAGCGTTCAGTATTATGCCGATTTTTGAATAGTAGTTGTTTATCTAAGGTAGCTAGGTATATATACGCTGGAGCGTCGTCTGACATATTATTTTAATATGATTTTAAAAAATATTCGAAAAAAAGGAAAAGGACTCTTACTGTTAGGACGAATGGCGAAGTGTGTGATTGTTGTGCTTTGGCTACAATTGCCCTCTGTCGTTAGGATACTTGTGTTTAGAACACACCACACAACTGATATCTTTCGTAAAACGGCTCGATTTGTGTTAGAGTTGTATTGTAACAAGCGATTGATAATATATATGTTTGTTAATTATTATTACAATTAAGTACGAAATGATAACCACAAACACATTCATTCCCATTAAAAATCTGATATGTAGTAACATAATTTATACATCAAATTTTCGACATTGACAATGCACGACCAAACCTTTTCTTACTCTGCAACACCGTATAGCCTCCAGCCTCATCTCGACCTCTAACATAACCCGATGTACATAAAATACAGATATCCTCCCACGTATGTAGGTCGACACCACTCAGAATCTATTAAGAAACAAAGATTTTTTCGTTGATAGACAATACGACTGAGCCTAATATCTGTACTACTACGATATCCGCAATACTGGTATATAATTTTGTTTTATAAAAAATAAGGCATATAGCAATTGCTAAACAGAGATGCTGTTTTAAAATCAGGAGAGGTAGTAAAAATCGTAGCTAGCATATCAAAGAGATATGACAAGTGTGTGTTTTGGCGTGTCACACTCTATATATACGCGATGTGAAATAATGCTGTTTCCTATGGCTGTAGATATACCTGGGTAACAACGGAAAAATTTGTTTCTAAAATCGATTTGTATTTGGGGTTTTTTTGTTTCGATATTTAAAATAATTACAAAATTTTCCTTTTAAAAAGTTCGATATTTAAGAAATTTCGTAAATGGTAAAAAATTAACGAATCGATTTCCGAAACAATAACGAATCGATTCGTTAATGGCGGACGCGACCGCGAAATACGCTAAAAAACCTCCAAAACCTTCTGAAGCTTCCCTCTCCCTCTGTTGTTGACTGTTGGTGTGATATTATAATTTTTTTTCACTAATTAAACCATAAAACTGGCCCAGACATGCGGAAATAATAACGAAACGGCCTCAAAACAATAACGAAACGAATACAATATCGAAATACGAAGCATTTACAAAACGTTTTTGAAAATTCGTTTTTTTTAATAATTGCTCCAGAATGGTTCGTTATCGTTTTGTAATTGAAAAAATTAACGAATTATTAACGAATTACGAATTAACGAAACGAAACCGCCCAGCCCTAGTTTTTATTATTACCAATTGAACATACTTAAAGCATAGTGATTCATCACAAAAATAATATGGAGAGCCCAAACGGAGAGGAGGAGGAAGAAGAGTTCAGAGGAGAGGGACGAAGGCAGGCCTTGCTAGTGTCTTGGCCCCCGGGGGCCCGGCAGCCATTGCAGGGAGGCCAAAGGTGGGGCCAAAGGAGGTGGCATCGCGACCCCTTGGAAATGGCCAATCAACCCCTCTGGGGATCGGGACCCCCAAGTTGAGAACCGTTGATCTAGGGACACACTCTTCTCCCATCTTTTGAAGCAACTGTAAACACCTCGCTTGTAGAAGTTGACAGGTTGCTCCAAAAGCCATGTTGTGACTTCGGAAACCAGAGTCTCATCCTATGAAAAATGCTTGCCCTTCACAAGTAACATCCTTTTTAAAAAATATTTTAATTGAGTATAATATAATAACAACAGAATAAAAACTGGTGAGGGGGTTTGTCTTGGGATGGATGGAAGGGGGAGGAAGAAGAAAGAAAGGAAAGAGAAAAAAAAAGGAAAAAAAAAAGAGATGTAGAAGGGTTTGGGTTGGGGAATAAAGGGGTTGTGAATGGGATTTTTGACTCCCAGATCTCTTTTCACGCATTGTATCTTTCTCGCCTTTAAGGTATTTTTCATGTTGTGGCTTCTCCCTTTAATTGTCATTTCGTTATCTCCTGCTTTCTTTTGTTTGCTTGGACAGTCATCCTCTTTATTTTTCTTCTTCTTGAATATTTGACATATAGTCATCGAATAAGACCCAGTCTGTCCTTTTAAGTGGTCTTCCGTGTGCATCTTTTAAAGCATAAGTTAGAATATCCATTTCTTTTATGTTGATAACTTTATTTAACCATTCATCTCTTGTAGGTATTTATTTTAATTTCCATTTTTTGGCTAGCATCATTCTTGCCGCAGTGGTTAAGTAAATGAGTAAAATATCTATATTGGAGTCAAGCTCAATAGTCCTAGAAGGAAATATTCTGGATTCATTTTTATTTTTGTTTGTAGTACTTTCTCGCAGTTTTCCTGTACTGATTTTCAATAAGTTTTTGTTCTAGGGCAGGTCCACCAGAGGTGGTAAAAGGTTCCAATTAAATATACATACTCAACAGATATGAAAGAAAACTGGTTTAAGATGATGTATAGGTGGTACATGACGCCACAAAAACTAGGCCTAATGTATAAAAGAACCAGCAGTAAATGCTGGAAATGCGAAGGTTTGGTGGGCGTTGACCTTGAGTTTGGGAGTTGTAGTTCACCTACATCCAGAGAGCACTGTGGACTCAAACAATGATAGATCTGGACCAAACTTGGTACGAATACTCAATATTCCCAAATGTGGAATACTCAATATTCCCAATGATGGAATTGAACCAAACTTGGCACACAGAACTCCCATAACCAACAGAAAATACTGGAAGGTTTTGGTGGGCATTGACCTTGAGTTTGGGAGTTGTAGTTCACCTACAGCCCGAGAACACTGTGGACTCAATGATGGATCAGGACTAAAATTGGCACAAATACTCAATATGTCCAAATGTGAACACTGGTGGAATTCAGGGGAAAATAGACCTTCACATTTGGGAGTTGTTATTGCAGGGATTTATAGTGCATCTACAATCAAAGAGCATTCTGAACTCCACCAACAATGGAATTGAACCAAACTTGGCACATAGAACTCCTGTGACCAACAGAAAATACTGGAAGGGTTTGGTGAACAATGAACTTGAGTTTTGGAGTTGTAGTTCACATACATCCAGAGAGCACTGTGGGCTCAAACAATGATAGATCTGGACCAAACTTGGTATGAATACTCAATATGCCCAAATGTGAACACTGGTGGAGTCTGGAGAAAATAGACCTTGGCATTAGGGAGTGGTAGTTGCTGGGATTGATAGTTTACCTACAATCACAGCAGGAGGAGGGCTTTTGGTGGAAGGATTCGCTGTCTGTTTCCAAAAGGGGTTTTTTCTAAGACTATCAGAAATATGTGTCTTCTGATGGTCTTTCGCGACCCCTCTGAAACCCCCTTATGACCCCCCTGGGGGTCCCGACCCCCAGGTTGAGAAACGCTGCTATAGAGACTTCTATCATGACACATGTGCAGTTTCAGTGTCCTGGGATAAATAGAAGTGGGTCAGGGGAAACCTTTTTTTTTAGGATGCTCAAAACCAACTTTTATTGAAACACATAAACCAAGAACTCTTTGCAATTCATTAGATACACATACAAAGGGACTTTCCCCCATTTGCAAAACTTTTCCCAGACTTCACAACCTACACGTTGGACTCTCTTCTACTCCTCCTTTCAAAGTTCCCCCAAAAATTCATCGAAACAGGAAAGGAACATGAACAACGCTGTCTTTTTCTCTTGGGCTGGTCTACATTCCCATATCATGGAGTGACACTGACAGGCTTCAAACTGAGATGGTGGTTGGGTATCTGGGCTTTGGAAGGTGTCACTCCAAAACCTCGAAAGTCTCCAAAAGTTAGTATTCAAACTTAGATGGCGGTTGTATATCTGGATTTGGAAGATGTTAGTCCAAAAACTCCAAAGTCTCCAAAACTTAGGATTCAAACTTAGATGATGATTGTGTTTCTGGGCAAACTTAGATGGTGGTGTGTATCTGGCTTTGGAAGGTGTCAGTCCAAAACCTCAAAAGTCTCCAAAACTCAAACTTAGATGGCGGTTGTGTATCTGGGCTTTGGAAGCGCCATCTAAGTTTGCCCAGATACACAACCACCATCTAAATTTTGGAGACTTTTGAGGTTTTGGACTGACACCTTCCAAAGCCAGATACACACCACCATCAAAGTTTGCCTAGATACACAGTCACCATCTAAGTTTGAGTACTAAGTTTTGGAGACTTTTGGGGTTTTTTGGACTGACACCTTCCAAAGCCAGATACACACCCGCCATCTAAGTTTGCCCAGATACACAACCACCATCTAAATTTTGGAGACTTTTGAGGTTTTGGACTGACACCTTCCAAAGCCAGATACACACCACCATCAAAGTTTGCCTAGATACACAGTCACCATCTAAGTTTGAGTACTAAGTTTTGGAGACTTTTGGGGTTTTTTGGACTGACACCTTCCAAAGCCAGATACACACCCGCCATCTAAGTTTGCCCAGATACACAACCACCATCTAAATTTTGGAGACTTTTGAGGTTTTGGACTGACACCTTCCAAAGCCAGATACACACCACCATCAAAGTTTGCCTAGATACACAGTCACCATCTAAGTTTGAGTACTAAGTTTTGGAGACTTTTGGGGTTTTTTGGACTGACACCTTCCAAAGCCAGATACACACCCGCCATCTAAGTTTGCCCAGATACACAACCACCATCTAAATTTTGGAGACTTTTGAGGTTTTGGACTGACACCTTCCAAAGCCAGATACACACCACCATCAAAGTTTGCCTAGATACACAGTCACCATCTAAGTTTGAGTACTAAGTTTTGGAGACTTTTGGGGTTTTTTGGACTGACACCTTCCAAAGCCACATACACAACTGCCTTCTAAGTTTAAGTTTTGGGTCAGGGGAAACCTTTAATGAATGCCCCTCCTACTGTGTGGATGGGCCCTGTGTTTCACTCCTGTGTTCTTTGTATACATTGTTTCCTCTGTTTTGCAAGCAAGCTTTGAGTGGTTTAGACAGTTGGAGGAAATGTCCTTCCCTCTTCCAAGAATTCCTTCTCCATCCTCACCTCCTCCTCCTCTCTCCAAGTCCATGGCTAGGCTTTTTCGGAGTTTGTTAAGATGATGCATTCCAGGGGCATGAGCTCTTCGAAATGGGTTGCGTCCAAACTTCTTTGTTGGTCTCCTATCATGGCAACGAGGGTGACTCCATCCTTTCCAAGGCAAGGCTTTGTCTGATCCGGAAGGTGCTATCATTGCACCGCAGCTTTCAAAAATCCCCGTTTCGACTTGCAGACGGAGGTGTCTTGTAGGGCCCTTCCACACAGACATATAACCCAGAATATCAAGGCAGAAAATCCCACAATATTGGCTTTGAATTAGGTTTATTATTTTATTTATTTATTTATTTACTTTATTTCTATACCGCTTTTCTCAGCCCTTAGGCGACTCAAAGCAGTTTACACAACAATGCAAAATATCACAAAACAGTATAATGCAATTAAAACAGATTATAACATCAACAATTAACAACAGTATAACAATCATAACGCCTCAACAATAAAATCAGAATCCACTCTCATTATCCATTGTTCCGTATTCCTATGTTCAATTTCACTGTTTAGTCAAACGCTTGTTTGAATAGCCAGGTCTTCACCTTCCTCCGAAACGCCAACAGCGAAGGGGCCGATCTGATGTCTGCAGGTAGGGCATTTCACAGCTGAGGGGCCACCACTGAGAGGGCCCTGTCTCTCGTCCCCGCCAGGCGCGCCTGCAATGCAGGCGGGACCAAGAGCAGGGCCTCCCCAGACGATCTTAATGTCCTGGTTGGTTCATAGGAGGAGATGCGTTCGGAGAGGTAAGTAGGGCCAGAACCGTTTAGGGCTTTATAGGCTAACGCCAGCACTTTGAATTGTGCCCGGTAGCAAACTGGCAGCCAGTGGAGCTGGTGCAACAGAGGAGTTGTATGCTCCCTGAGTGCCGCTCCAGTTAGCAACCTGGCTGCCATTGGACCATTTGAAGCTTCCCAGCAGTCTTCAAAGGCAACCCCATGTAGAGAGCGTTGCAGTAGTCTATACGGGATGTAACCAGAGCGTGGACCACCGTGGCCAAGTCAGACTTCCCAAGGTACGGGCGCAGTTGGCTGAATCCACACTGCCATATATTCCAGGTCAAAGCCAATAATGTGGGATTTTATTCAGCTGTGTGGAAGTGGCCTTAGATCAGTGGTTCTCAACCTTCCTAATGTCGTGACCCCTTAATACAGTTCCACACATTGTGGTGACCCCCAAACATAAAACTATTTTCATTACTACTAACTGTGATTTTGCTCCTGTTATGAATCGTAAATATCTGATAAGCAGGATGTATTTTCATTCACTGGACCACATCTGGCACAAATACCCAATCTCCCCAATTTGAACACTGGTGTTGATTTTTGTCATTTGGGAGTTGTAGTTGCTGGGATTTATAGTTCACCTACAATCGAAGAGCATTCTGAACTCCACCAACAATGGAATTGAACCAAACTTGGCACACAGAACTCCCACAACCAACAGAAAATACTGGAAGGGTTTGGTGGCCATGCCTTGAGTTTTGGAGTTGTAGTTCACCTACATCCAGAGAGCACTGTGGACTCAAACAATGATGGATCTGGACCAAACTTGACACAAATATTCAATATGCACAAAATGTGAACACTGGGTGAGTTTGGGGAAAATAGAGCTTGACATTTGGGAGTTGTAGTTGCTGGGATTTATAGTTCACCTACAATCAAAGAGCATTCTGAACTCCACCAACTATGGAATTGAACCAAACTTGGCACACAGAACTCCCATGACCAACAGAAAATACTGGAAGGGTTTGGTGGGCACTGATCTTGAGTTTTGGAGTTGTAGTTCACCTACATCCAGAGAGCACTGTGGACTCAAACAATGATGGATCTGGACCAAACTTGGCACAAAACTCAATATGCCCAAATGTGAACATTGGTACAGTTTGGGAAAAATAAACCTTGGCATTTGGGAGGTGTAGTTGCTGGGATTTATAGTTCACCTACAATCAAAGAACATTCTGAACCCCACCAATGATAGAATTGGGCCAAACTTCCCACACAGAACCTCCATGAGCAACAGAAAATACTGTGTTTTCTGATGGCTTTTGGTGACCCCTCTGACACCCGCTCACAACCCCCCAGGGGTCCCGACCTCCAGGTTGAGAACCACTGATCTAGAGCAAGCTTGCCCGTACAACAAACTTTAAATATTGATGGAATTTCTCAGGGTTAACTTGGCATGATGGGAGTTGTAGTTCAGCCACAACTTTATGCATTTCACACAATTAAAAATTACTTTTTCAAATAACCCGGGCAGTGCCAGGGACTCAACTTAGTTAGCAAACAAAATGCTTCCAGACAATACCTTTGTTGCTCATCTTTCTTGCAATATAGTTGCCTGACTTGGCAGCCCTGATGGTCTCACTTCTGTGTGGATCCATTCACGTTCCCTTTTCTCTTCCTTCCTAGGTTTCCAGCCATTATCTGATTTGTCTTCCTACGAAATTGTGGTCCCCAGGAGGATAACGAGAGAGCGCCGTGATCTGCCCAAAACCTCACAGGTATTTCAAGCTAAATGTCCTTTATGGTCAGGACAACTCCTGCCATAGGTTCCAATCAATGGGAAGCACGAAGAACGGAGGAATAAGCCTCTGAAACGGTGTCACTGGCGAGGAATCTAATCCAATTTGAGAAGATTATAGACACATTCGTGCATTTGTATTGCTTTCGGAGAAATATGGTTTTTGGATGTAATTATAAAATGGATTCTTCATCTGGGTTGCATCTACACTGTGGAATTAATGCATTTTGGCACCACTTTAACTTCCCTGGCTCAATGCTGTGGAGTCACTGGAATTGGAGTTTGGTGGGGCGCTCTTTGGCAGAGAAGGCTGAAAGAAGGCCTTGCAAAACTCTCAACTCTTATCATTCCATAGCGCAGAGCCCTGGCAACTAAAGTGGGGTCAAACTGCATTAATTCTATAGTATAGATCAGGTATAGGCAAACCCAGGCCCGGCTGTGGCCCCTTGGGCTGTTTCCCCAGGCCCTCCTCTCTCTCACCATCCTATCCTTCCATCCTTCTCTCTTTCCTTCCTCCTTGCATCTCTCACTTCCTTATCTCCCTCTTTCTCTTTCCCTCCTCCCTTCTTTCCCTTTCCTCCCTCCTTCTCTTTTTCTCCTTCTTCCTTCCTTCTTCCTTCCTTCCTTCTCCTTCCTTCTTCCTCCTTCCTTCCCTTCCCTTCCCTTCCCTACCCTACCCTACCCTACCCTACCCTACCCTACCCTACCCTCCCTCCCTCCCTCCATCCCTTTTGTTTTTTCTTCTTTCCCTTTTGTCTTTTCTTCCATCCTTCCTCCCTCCCTCCCTACCTCCCCTTCTTTCCTTTTTTCTCTTCCCTTTTTCTTTCCTTCCTTCTCCTTCCTCCCTTCTTTTCCTCTTCCTTCTTTTTCCTTCCTTCCTTCCTTCCCTTCCTTCCTTCCTTCCTTCTTACATTCCTTCCTTCTTTATATCTCGCATCGTCCAGGTGTCATTGGGATTGTTGCCCCCCTGCTTTCATCCCTTTTTCTCCATCTTTCCTCTCATACCTTTTTACCTTTCCTTTCCTTTCCTTTCTATTCCTTCCTTCCTTTTCCTTCCTTCCTTCCTTCCTTCCTTCCTTCCTTCCTTCCACCCTTGGATTTGCATTTCAAACCTCCTCTTCCTCCCTTTATTCCTTCATTCATTCCTTCCTTCTCCTTTTCCTTCCTCCTTTCCTCCTGGGGGATGTTTACCTGAGAGAAGAGAAGGTCAAGAGGAAACAGGAGAACCATGTTTCCAGATTGCAATGGGGGTCCCATTGAGGGGGAGAACGGACTTTCTGCTGCTCTAGAGACCAGGGCACAAGAAGGGAGTTCAAATGGGTTCAAATGGCAGGGAAAGAGATTTGACTGAAACAACCAGGAAGAACTTCCTGAAGAGTGGCCTAGGCTGCCTGGGAATGTGGTGGAGCCTCCTTCTCTGGAGGCTTTTCTGCAGAGGCTATCTATCGGGAGTGCTTTGATTGTGCCTTCCTGCATGGCAGGGGATTGGACTGGATGGCCCTTGGGGGTCTCTTCCAGCTCTAGGATTCTATCTCAGGAGGAGGCAATATGGGGTCTCATGGAAACACTTTTCCTCTCTTGTCCACCATCTCATTGTGAGCAAGGCCAACCCTTTTGGGACCCAAACATTTTCTGCCTTTCCTTCACTTTCTGCCTCCAAAGGAGAAGAGGAAAGGTAGGAATGGGCAGGGAGGGAGAACCCCCAAGTTAGAAGGTTTGCCCAGGCCTGATGTAGATGCTCCTCTGGAGGAAAATAACTGCGCCAACTTGAAAGACTTGTGGGTGAAAACATTGGAGACGTTGGATGTTAATATTTTGTTTTCCTCCTCCTTCTTTTAAGGACACATTTTCCTACGTGATCGCCATCGAAGGAAAGGACCATACGCTGGTCCTAGAAAGAAACAGGTAAGTGGCTTGTTCGGATTTCCTTCCCCTGCAGTGGTTGTGTTTACTTACTTAGGCGATCCCTCGTTTTCCGAGGATGATTGTCTTCCAATATACTTGTGGGTCCGTATGTGGCTGTGGAGCCCCATTCTTGCTCTGCATCTTCTTCCGCAGTGAGGGCATCGGTTTCCAGACGGAAGGCGGTCCCGGTCGGAGTTGACTTGATGCGCCTTCCTCTTGGCACGTTTCTTTCTTTCACCCTCCATTCATGCCTCTTCAAATTCTGCAGCACTGCTGGTCACAGCTGACCTCCAGCTGGAGCGCTCAAGGGCCAGGGCTTCCCAGTTCTCAGTGTCTATGCCAGAGTTTTTAAGGTTGGCTTTGAGCCCATCTTTCAATCTCTTTTCCTGCCCACCAACATTCCGTTTTCCGTTCTTGAGTTCGGAGTAGAGCAACTGCTTTGGGAGACGGTGGTCGGGCATCCGGTTGTGTTTGGTGACCCAAGAAGGACGTAAAACATGAGTTACAGAAGTGCCAGCGAAGGAAACAATCGGATGAGTTTGACTTCCCCTCCCATCCTCTCGGCTTCCCTCCCAAACACCAGCAAAGCACTTTCGTGTTGGACGTTGTGATAACATTCAGACTTCCCAAAGCCAGAGGAAACACTTTTGCAAAGAGGATGTGGACATTCATCAGCAGCTCTCCTGTTAATAATAATAATAATAATAATAATAGTAATAATAATAATAATTTATTTATACCCCGCTACCATCTCCCCAAGGGACTCGGTGCGGCTTACATGAGGCCGAGCCCACAATACATCTATCTATGTATATAATAAAAGTCAGTGTTTGTATGTGGAGGGAGGTGTATGTGGCAGCGTTCTGATTGGCTGCCACTGTGGTACAATTTGCATATGGTCTCTGATTGGCCAGTTTCAACATTCCAAGGTAGCAGAGGTAAAAGGAAAGGGGGCTGAGGCTGTCAGTAATGGTTGGAGTTGAAGTCCAAAACACCTTGAAGCCCCCAACAAAGGCAGAACAAGACCAAACTTGGCACAAAGATCCCCTTCCCCCCAAGAACCACTCTACATCCTGGTGCAGTTTGAGGGAGGATGGACCATGGATGACGGGGCTTGCAGTACTTTAACTCACTTCCTTAGAACACTGTGGCTCACACCAATGACGGATCAGGACCAACCTTGGCACACAGAGGCCCAATGGCCCACTTTAAAACCTGGTGCAGTTTAGGGCAGGATGGGCCACAAATGATGGGATTTGCAGTACCTTCACCTGATTCACTTCCCACAGAACATTGTAGCCCCTACAAATCACAGACCAGACCCAAACTTGGCACAAGGAGTACTCATGACCCACTCTACATCCTGATGCAGTTCTAAGGGGGATGGACCATGGATGATGGGACTTGCAGTACCTTTACTCATTTACTGAAACCACTACGACCCTCATTCAATGACTGATAAAGACCAAACTTGGCACACAGAGCCCCCATGACCCCACTCTACATCCTGCTGCAGTTTGAAGAAGGATGGACCATGGATGATGGGACTTGCAGTACCTTCACTCACTTACTGAAACCACTGTGACCCTCATCCAATGACTGATAAAACCAAACTTGGCACAAGGAGTACTCATGACCCACTCTATATCCTGCTGCAGTTTGAAGAAGGATGGACCATGGATGATGGGACTTGCAGTACCTTCACTCACTTCCTGAAAACAATGCAACCATCATCCAATGACCAATAACGGCCAAACTTGTCATACAGAACCCCCATTACCCACTTTCTCTAATAACCCGGGCAGCACCGGGTCCCCAAGCTGGTCAGTAATAAAAGCAATAACAACAGTAATACAAAACAATAAAATAAAACTCATAACAGAAGATAAGCAATAAACATTAACAGTAACACGACGTTTAAAAACCTATGGCTGGGCCAAATGCAATAATTAAAATTTTTATTTTTTTTAATCTGTTGGCCATCTGATTTTAAAATAGGAATTTCGCTTGCATTTCTGGATGACAAATATTTTGAAACACCTCTTGGCAACGTTCTCTTAATTCGAGTTTCCAAAGTTTCGCTTTCCGCTATTATTCTCCCTTTTATCCATAAATGCCGCTTTAGGTTGGCTATTGGGAGCAGCAGGGTGGATCTACACTGTAGAATTAATGCAGTTTCACTCCGTTTTAGCTGCTATGGAATCCTGGGATCTGCAGTTTTGCAAGGTATTTCGCCTTCTCTGCTAAAGAGGGATGGTGTTGTGGTTCAGCCAGAGGCTGAAGATGAGGGGATGATTTAGTCAGAGGTTGTGAGGAATGATGGGCTTTTCGGTGTGGAAAATGAGGGGATTTTGGATCATGAATCTGTATAGGAAGATGAGTCTTTGTCTGGTCAGATAAGAACAGCTTCAGAGCAGAGAGGAGATGGAGATGCTTTGGCATCAGAAGATAAGGGAGACCTTTCTCCTGGTGGTTCCTTGGCAATGGAAGATAAGGAGCTGAAAGGGAAAGATCTTTCCCCTGGGAAAACACCTATGGTCAGTAGGAGTAGGAGACTCGGTTTACGGGGAGGAGGGAGTCAGATCACTTGGTGAGAAACCTGTGAAACAAACCAGTAAGAAATCCTTGAAACTGAGATGTCAAAGGCACGACATCATGGCTTGTGGACCTTAAATTACAGTGTTGTTTATTGAAAGGGTCAGAGCAGGCAACACTGCGTTAATGTGTACACCTTGGGTCTTGTTCTTCCACGTTGAAGTCTATGGCTAAGATCTGTGGGAAATTCTTGTGCTCATGTCCATGGATTCATGTTTTGAAAGAAGTTCCCATGCTCCTGGTTATGAATTTATGCCTGTGTCTTCATTCCTGGTTTTTTCATGCACCTTGTCACTTTTGAACGGAACTTTGCTGTTTGGACTGTTGCCTTTCGAAAGCCTTTTTTCCTATTGACTTTTGGACATTGCTTTTTATATTACCTTTTGCCTTTTTGTGTTTGCATTCTTCAATAAACTGTTTAGTTAGTACTACTGGACTCTTGTGTAGTGTTGGGTGCGAAGGGGAATTCAGGCCAGAGTGCAACAGCTGGTTCCTCACCATGTGTTGTGGCTTAGCTGGAGCCTCAGGAAGAGGATGATGGGTTTCAGATTCCTGAACATGTTCCTGTTGTTGATACAGATGATGCTGATGCTGAAGACGAGGAGTTTCAGTTTGCCATGGCAAGAGATGTTGTTTTAGAAGATGTTTCTGATCTTAGACAAACTTCACAGGTGCAGGCGGAGGAGGCGAGCCAGCCTGTGAACTCTCTGCCTGACGATTCTCAGTCTCATTACTCTAGAGAGGTAATGCTACCCCTCTATTCTGCTTTGGTTAGACCACACCTGGAATATTGTGTCCAATTCTGGGCACCACAATTCAAGAGAGATATTGACAAGCTGGAATGTGTCCAGAGGAGAGCGACTAAAATGATCAAGGGTCTGGAGAACAAGCCCTATGAGGAGCGGCTTAAGGAGCTGGGCATGTTTAGCCTGAAGAAGAGAAGGCTGGAGGAGATATGATGAGGGCCATGGATAAATATGTGAGAGGAAGCCACAGGGAGGAGGAGGGAGCAAGCTTGTTTTCTGCTTCCATGGAGACTAGGACGCAATGGAACAATGGCTTCAAACTACAAGAGAGGATTCCACCTGAACATGAGGAAGAACTTCCTGACTGTGAGAGCCATTCATCCCGTTTAGAATACTGCAACGCTCTCTACATGGGGTTGCCTCTGAAGACTGCCTGGAAGCTGCATCTAGTCCAACGCTCGGCAGCCAGATTACTAACAGGTGCTTGGTACAGGGAGCACACCACTCCGCCGTTACACCAGCTCCACTGGCTGCCAATTAGCTTCCGAGCACAATTCAAAGTGCTGGTATTAACCTATAAAGCCCTAAACGACTCCGGCCCTGTTTACCTCTCCCAATGTATTCTCCCCTATGAACCATCAAGATTATTAAGATCGTCTGGAGAGGCCCTGCTCTCGGTCCCACCGACCTCACAAGTGCATCTGGTGGGGACGAGGGACAGGGCCTTCTCGGTGGTGGCCCCGCGACTCTGGAACTCTCTCCCGCCAGAGGTTAGAACCGCCCCAACAATCCTGACATTCAGGAAACAGGTGAAGTCGTGGTTATGGAGACAGGCTTTCGAAGAATGAGACAATGATCTGGATGGAAGACGGTGTATATTCGATTTTAGTATGACGACTGACCACTGTAGTTTTAAATATATGTGCTTTTTAATGTTTTATTGTAATGTGCATTTTGATATTTTACCGATTGTATGTGTTTTTATGGTTGGAAACCGGGCTGAGTCCCTCTTATGAGGTGAGAAGCTCGGTATATAAAACTTTGAAATAAATAATAAATAAAGCTTCAGCAGTGGAACTCTCTGCCCCGGAGTGTGGTGGAGGCTCCTTCTTTGGAAGCTTTGAAACAGAGGCTGGATGGCCATCTGTCAGGGGTGCTTTGAATGCAATATTCCTGCTTCTTGGCAGAATGGGGTTGGACTGGATGATGGCCCAGGAGGTCTCTTCCAACTCTTTGATTCTATGAGTTATTCGACCTTGAAGGCTCTGCAGATTTAGATAGGGCAGATCGCTTGCAATTCAGGATTTGCCGTAGTTCAAGGCTTGCAAACAAGAGGGAGGTCAAAGGAATGCTTTCATGCTGGGAAAGTATATTTAGTGAGCTGATTGAAGGCAACCTTTTGTCAGTGCAACTTTGGCGAACACCCTGATAACTTCTTTGGGTTGCCTCGGCTTTTGGGCAATGCTTTTGGCTTTTTGGAACTTTGATTTGGATCTTGGCTTCTTGGGACTCTGTCATGCTGCCGTGGAATCTTGTTTGATCAATGCTTATGGATTATGCTTCATGTTATTTGCCTTTGGACTTTGGAAACTCTGCCTTTGCATTTAAGACTCCGTTTGGCTATTGAACTTTTGCAACTTTACTTTTGTGTTTAAGACTTTGCCTTTTCTTTAATAAACTACAAAACCTACAGCCTTGGTGTGTGTGGTGTTCTGAGCAAGGTGAATCTATCCTGAGGTGTGACAAGAAGATTCTCTAGAAGAGAGGAAGTTGAAGATTTTCAATGGTAAGCAAACAGTATTCCCCCTCCCCCAATCAATCATTGATATATTTTCTGTTCACTGTGGGAGTTCTGTGTGCCATATTTGGTTCAATTCCATCATTGGTGGAGTTCAGAATGCTCTTTGATTGTAGGTGAACTATACATCCCAGTAACTACAACTCGCATATGTCAAGGTCTATTTTCCCCCAAGAGCGCCCCTGGGCAAAATCAACTATACTGCAATCGCTTACTTTGCGTAATGGTTGAGCCGCCCCTGGACCTGGCCCTCTGTGTAAAAAGTTTGTGGACCCCTGGTATCGATTATTATACAGCGCGGAAAACTCATGGTATTCTAGATGTTCTAGTCATCTGTAAATCAGATCAACAATTGGGTCACAGCGTTTACAGAAAACCCACACACACAGATAGATACCTACATAAAAACTCCAACCATCACCCAAGTCAAAAAAAGAAGCACCATTAAAGCCTTGGCAGACCATGCAAAAAGAATCTGCGAAGCCCACCTCCTCCAAGATGAACTGAACCACCTCAAACTGGGCTCTACAGGCCAATGGAGACTCCACCTCAGACATCAGAAGAGCTGCAAGACCAAGAAGAAGCCACGAGAGTCAAGACGGAGATCCACCCAGAGGAAAAGGGGTCTTGCCAGACATCAAGGGAACCACTGACCGCAGAGGGAAGCTGATGAGGAAACACAACATACAAACTACCTACAGACCCACCAAGAAAATCCAACAAATGCTACATTCAGCAAAGGACAAGAGGCATCCTCTCACTTCTGCAGGAGTCTACCGTATACCATGCAGCTGTGGACAAGTCTACATAGGGACCACCAAACACAGCAGTGCCCAAACAAATCAAGAACATGAAAGGCACTGCAGACTATTCAACCAGAGAAGTTAGCCATAGCAGAGCACCTGATGAACCAACCTGGGCACAACATATTATTGTGAGAACACAGAAATGCTGGACCACTCTCACAACACCATGTCAGACTACACAGAGAAGCCATTGAAATCCACAAGCATGTGGACAATTTCAACAGAAAGGAAGAGACCATGAAAATGAACAAAATCTGGCTACCAGTATTAAAAAACTCTAAAATTACAACAGCAAAAACAGCAGAGAGGAAACAACCAGGCACAGCTTAACACCTCTCAACAGGAGATTTCCCAGGCTCAGGCAGGCCTTCAAATGCTAATGAAGCAGAGAGGAAACAACCAGGCACAGCTTAATAACACCTCTCAGCAGGAGATTTCCCAGGCTCAGGCAGGCCTTCAAATGCTAATGAAGGTGGTCAGTTGAAACATTCACACCTAGCTCCAGCAGAAGAGCTCTTTGCCCCACCCCAGCCATTCCACAGATATATAAACCCATTGTCCTATTTCCAACAGACCTCACTACCTCTGAGGATGCTTGCCATAGATGCAGGCGAAACGTCAGGAGAAATGCCTCTAGAACATGGCCCTATAGCCCGAAAAAACCCACAAGAACCTATAGATTTTAATATTGGTCCGTCAGCTTTTCTTTCTTTCTTTCTTTCTTTCTTTCTTTCTTTCTTTCTTTCTTTCTTTCTCCTCCCTCCATATTTTGCCTATCAGTCCTTTTAATGTGCTTTCCCTTTCATTACTGAATTATTAAAATTGTTTTCTCCGTGTCCTCCCCTCCACCTCCTTTTAGAGCGCTTATGCCAAAAGACTTCACATTGTACACCTACAAGAAGGATGGAACGCTGCATACGGAAAAGCCAAGGGTTGGGGTAAGATATATTGGTTTCTCTCTATAATTCACTATATAAGATGTATTGGTTTATTGATATACGAACATCAGCCCTGGCCTTGTCTTACTCAACTGCTGAGTATGCCTGCCGTGTTTGGCACAAGTTTGTTCACGCGACGCAGGTGAACACAGCACCGAATAAGACATGCAGAATAATCACAGGATGCCTCAAATCTCTATTTGAGATATGATAGCCATGTATAAATATGTGAGAGGAAGCCCCAGGGAGGGAGGAGGGAGCAAGCTTGTTTTCTGCTTCCCTGGAGACTAGGACGCAATGGAACAATGGCTTCAAACTACAAGAGAGGAGATTCCATCTGAACATGAGGAAGAACTTCCTGACTGTGAGAGCCGTTCAGCAGTGGAACTCTCTGCCCCGGAGTGTGGTGGAGGTTCCTTCTTTGGAAGCTTTGAAACAGAGGCTGGATGGCCATCTGTCAGGGGTGATTTGAATGCAATATTCCTGCTTCTTGGCAGAATGGGGTTGGACTGGATGGCCCAGGAGGTCTCTTCCAACTCTATGATTCTATGATTCTATGATTTGTGGGTACAGTGTGGGATTGATTCCTTGATCTTCTGCAGTGGAATTTTTCCCTGTCTTTCTCAGTCTTCCTTTCTCCGTTGCTTTCCATCCTTGTAGGAGCATTGCCACTATCACGGCCACGTAGAAGGAACATCCTACTCCCTGGTGGCTGTCAGCATTTGTTTTGGACTCAGGTAAGGAATATGTTCATGGCTTTTCTCTGACAGGACAGACTATGGTCTAACTACACAGATATTCCCAATGGCTCCCAAAGTGACCCTTTTAAGGTGGAATCGGGTGTCAAACAGGGATGTGTTATTGCCCGAACCTTATTTTCCATCTTCATCACTATGATACTTCATCGCTATGATACTTCCTACCGGAGTGGAAATCCTCTATTGAACAGATGGCAAGCTGTTTAACCTCTGCAGACTGAAAGCCAAAACCAAGGTTACAACATCTGTTATAGAACTCCAGTATGCGGATGATAATGTCATGTGTGCACATTCAGAAGAAGACCTACAAGCCACTCTAAACACCTTCGCAGAAGCATACGAGAAGCTCGGCCTGTCATTGAACATCGAAAAAACCAAAGTGCTCTTCCAGCAGTCAATCCCTCTCCAATGCCAGAGATACAGCTTAATGGTGCAACATTAGAAAATGTGGACCATTACCGCTACCTTGGCAGCCACCTCTCCACTGAGGTCAGTATTGAGACCGAAATACAACACCGCCTGAGCTCTGTGCAGCATTTTTCTGAATGAAGCAGAGAGTGTTTGAGGACCGGGACATCCGTAGGGATACCAAGGTGCTTGTTTATAGAGCTATTGTCCTCCCAACCCTGCTATATGCCTACGAAACGTGGACTGTCTACAGACGTCAACATTGAGGCTGAAATACAACACCGGCTGAACTCTGCGAGTGCAGCATTTTTCTGAATGAAGCAGAGAGTGTTTGAGGACCGAGACATCCGTAGGGAGACCAAGGGGCTTGTTTATAAACCTCTTCCCCTCCCAACCCTGCTAT